TGCCCCCTTAGGGGTGGGGGGTTGTAACCCCCTCAAAAGATAGATTTTTTGAAAAATCGTTTCACGTGTTTCAGCGTTTTTTTTTAATACCAATGGTTTTTGAAATATTTGACCGTTCCGGAACTTTTTCCCATCACTGTATATATGTGTGTGTGTTTATTGGTGTCGTGATACATATATGTCTAGTTATTAAACGAGTGTGAGTGTTCGCGATTCTGCCGAGAACTGATTTCCGTTGACAGTTTATACGCACCACAAAATGAGGTTAGGAGTGCATGTACGTGACTGTCATTGCGATCGCGAAAATTTTCTTCTTCTTCTTCTTGAATTATTGGCCAGGCAACCCAAGGGTTGGTACTAGGCCATTGATGTCTGCGTTGCTAGTAATTTTTGGCAAGTGGGTTTGTAAGCCATGATGGTTATAAAAGTATAGTGGCCTCCCCCCCAATCCAGACGCCTGCTGCCCCCCAGCGGTGAACTGCGCGCCAAAGGAGAAGGGGGAGTGGAGCAAAAGAAAAGTCAGAAAAAGAGGTCATTGGCCTTCATGTAGGCCAGAAGGAGACGGGAGAATGTGGACTAGGAGAGCGCAGGACAGGGACGAGGTCCTGAGGAGAATTTGGGAATTTCTTTGATATGTACGCTCGGATGTTGTTTAGGTCCTTATGCGTAGAAAAAAGAACCACATCATCTGCATATTGGAGGAATTGGGTATCCTGATGCAGATGCTGTCCAAGATCTCGAAGGTAAATGTTAAATAACAAGGGGCTTAATGTAGAACCCTGAGGTGTACCCTTAAGGGTAGTGTAAGGACCATGAGGCTCGCCTTCAATTACAAAGGTAAGGTGTCTTATAGAAATGAGATTTTCGATGAATTTTCTAAAGAGGGCTGGGACCCCAATGGTTCTCAAGTCCTCCAGTAGGATGTATGGATCCACGTTATCAAATGCACCTGCGATGTCCAAGAAGACCGCGACCGTAATCGAATGCTTCAAAAAGCCAGTCTTTATTGAAGTGATCAAAGTAGCCAGGTTGTCATAACAGGCTCTGAAAGGTCTAAATCCCGATTGTGTCTGCGGGAGAATAGGTCTGGACTCGATGAACCAGCTCAATCTGCGACACAGGATGCGCTCCATAAGTTTACAAGCACAAGACAAAAGCGAAATTGGTCTGACCCCTTTAGAGTCGGACTTGGGGATAAGCACCACTAGAGAATCTTTCCAGGTGTTCGGGAAAGTACCTTCAGAGAAAATTTTGTTAAAAGTGATTAAAAGATGTGATTGAACTTCGCTGGGAGTATGGTCTAGAATATTGTAGCTAACCTGATCAAGACCAGGAGCAGAATTTTTTCGAGTCGAGATCAGAGCGCATCTGAATTCTTCAGCGGTGAGTGGCTCATCGAGCCAAGTAAAGACGTGTGAACTCTGGCGGTCGTCTAGCTTCATTGTTTCCAAAGATTTGGATGTGTCGCAATAAGCAGTCGGCGGGCAGAGCTTCGAGATGATCTCTCTCGAAGCCCCACTAAGATCACCAGCCGTCCCGGAGCCAACGCTTGCGTTCCTTTTAAAGCACTTAATTAGGGACCATATTTGTTTAGGAGCCCTGCCATTAAAGCTGTTCATAAGCTTACGCCAACCTTCTCTTTTTTGTTCAGAAAGTTTCCTAGAACAGTCGTCGCGAGCCCTCTGAAATTCTATGAGATTTTCTTTGGAAGGGATCGAGGTGAAATTTTTTAGGGCTTTCCTTCTGGACTCAACAGCGTTTGAACACGACTCGTTCCACCATGGAGGAGGGGCTAATTTTGGAGCAGAAGTGACAATACGTGGGGTTCGTTTGCCCTCTGGAAGAAAACATTTGGCAGCGTCCATAATCATTTGCAACAACATTTCATAAGATTCAGTCCCGTTCTTGCCCTCTAATGGAGGCACATTTTTAACTTGATTTTTTAGGTCCCGATAAAAGGAGTTGAATTGATCTTTGTTGAGAGAGATCTTATATGAAAATTTGGATTTTAAAGAGACTTGAATGCCTATGGTGGTGATGACAGGATAATGATCGCTCCCAAAAGTGTCAGATTCTACATAAGAATTGCATATTGGTGCGAGCTGTGGGGACACCAAAACCAGGTCGATTACTGAAGCACTGTGAGATGAACGCAAAAAAGTGGGGGTCGTATCGTTGAGGGTGATAAGATCATATTTCTCGATGACACGCATAAGCATCCTTCCCGCAGTTGACTGCCGTGTGCAGCCCCAAGTCTTATGGTGAGCGTTGAAATCACCTAGAAGAATATAATATTTATATTTTTGTATTTCGCCAACTAAGGAGTCGAAAAAGGCACAAGGGGTTTTTTGGCCAGGGTGCCTGTATAAATTAATGATAACTATTGAATCCGTTTTAGAATAAGGAATCCTGATAGCCATAAATTCAACTGAAGAGTGCGCAATGGACGTGAGGTTAAGAATTTCATGCTTAATATTTTCGCGGATGATGACGCAGATACCTCTATCTCCTAATTGAGCGATGTCCTTTCTGATGACTTTATAACCTTTCACACGGAAGGCATGATTTTGTTTAAGAAGAGTTTCCTGCACACAAAGAATGTCGAAGTCTCTTGCTGCTTCCATTAACGATGGAAGATTATGTCGGATTCCCAGTGAGTTCCACTGAAAAATTTTTAGAAAATTGTTTCTCCTCTTGTTAGATCCGAAATCCTTTGGACTCGGTCTCCTATTCTCTCGAAATTCCAGCGACGGCAACGCTATGATTTGTTTGGAAAAAATATGCAAGTTCGTGGAGGAAGATGTGTTATTGTCAGTTGATTTAGCGGATGCAAAGCTGAGTTCTTGTGAAAGATTAAAATTAGTTCCGAAAACAGCCATAGCCATATTCTGCTTCGTGCGAGGGACC